TTCTTTGGAAGAGGATAATTTAATATTTGGTACGTTAGTATATAAGAATTTTTGTACGACTTACATGAATGTAGTGAAAGTCAAAATAATGGAAAGTGGCAATTGTATATCTGAATCAGGGAATGATAAGCAATGAAAGAATTTTTTTTTTTAGTTTTATTTACCGTCATTATTGCAATTATTTAATTTGCTATAGCATACGCATGCTCACCAGAGAGCAAGAAAGAGAAGAAAAGTCAGAAAGCAAGCTGCCAGGTCCGGGACTTGAACTGCAGTCAGCCATGTGGGAGTCCAGCACCTTAACTACCACACTATCCTCTGGTCCCAAGCAGTGGAAGAATTTTTTTTTTTTTGGAGTGGTTTTTCACTATAGGGCACGTACGCTCGCCAGACAGACAGAGAGAGAGATACAGAGACAGAAAGCGAGAAATCACCCCCCCGGGGGGATGATCACGCCGCAATCCTTTCTCCTCCATTCTCTCGGGATCTTGGGCACGCATGCACATGCACCCTGCGTGAGTTTTAAGCCACTGGGTCCGGGACACGAACTGCGGTCGACTATGTGGGAGTCCAGCGACATAGCCATTACGCTAACTGCTGGTTCCCGCAGTGGAAGAATTTAAAAAACTATTCATAGGCCAGCAGGTGACTTGGTGGTTAAGGCACTGGATTTCCACATGGCCAACTGTGGCTGAAGTTTCAGACACACTAGCTTGATAATTATGCCACCATGTGTGTGCATGCCCAAAAATCCCCAGAGGAGATTGGAGAAGGAATTACAGTGTGACTATCCTCCCCCCACCCCTCAGGGGTGATTTCTCACTTTCTCTGCTTTTCTCTTTGGTGAACGCATGTGCCCTATGGCAACAACTTAAAAAGAGAACATACAAGATAATTTTTTTTGAGAGAGATTTTCGCTATAGGACACGTGCGCTCACCAGCCAGAGACATAGACATAGAGACAGAAAGCAAGAAATCACCCCCCAGGGGGGATGGTCACGCCACAATCCCTTCTCCATTCTCCTCTCAGGATCTTGGGCATGCACGCACATGCACCCTGTGTGAGTTTTTTTTTGTGTGAGTTTTAAGCCACCAGGTCCGGGACGCGAACCGCGGTCGACTACGTGGGAGTTCAGCGACATAGTCATTACACTAACTGCTGGTTCCCAAGATAATTTTTTTTTGGTAGAGGTTTTTTCCTATATCGCTTGTGCGCTCGCCAGAAAGATAGAGACAGAGACAGAAAGTGAAAAATCACCCCCCACGCTGCCATCCCTTCTCCATTCTCCTCTCGGGATCTTGAGCACACACGCACACGTGCCCAGTGTGAGTTTAAGCCACAGGGTCCAGGACTCGAACCGCGGTCAACTACCTGGGAGTCCAGCGACATAGCCATTACGCTAACTGCTGGTCCCCATACAAGATAATTTTTATAGATTTTTGCCATAGGGTGTGTACACGCATAGGAGAGACACAGAGAAAGGAAAAGTGAGAAATACAACATCCCCCTACCCCATCCCCTAGGATGGCCACTTCACATTCCCTTCTCTGTTCTGTGGGGATTTTCAGACAGGCACACATGTGCACCCAGAGTGATTTTGTTTTTTTTAAGAGCTTTTTTGCAGTAGGGTGTGTGTGCTCGCCGGAGAGACAGAGACAGAAAGTGAGAAATCACACTCAAGGCTGGATGGCTGTGCCACGGTCCCTCCCCTTCTAGTTTCCTCTAGATTTTGGGGATGCTTGCACACGCTCTGGGAACCGCAGTCAACTATGTGGGAGTCTACTGATGTAACCATTACACCACCTGTGGTCCCTCCCAGCGTGGTTTTTAAGTCATTGGATCCAGGACTTGAACCACTCACCTGGCCATGTGGGATTCAAAGCCTTAACTGTCATACCACTTGTTTGGCCCCCTATATGATCATTTTAATGTTCTCAAACTTCCATGCAGAGGAAGGACTGGGTGTTTTACTTGACATGAAGAAAAATAATCCATGTTTTTTAAAAACATCTCGAATCTTTATATCCACTAAGTAATGTTATGATAGATCAGTCTTCTCCTTTGAATGGCTTTTAGATTTAGAGTCATACCTAAAAGTACTCCATAGTTGAGATTTAAAAACTTTTCTGTACTAAAATATTTTCCTATTTTCAACAATTTTGTTAACACTAACTTTGCACCTTTTAGGGATTTTGAATGGTCAGTGAGGGTGCACACGCGTCTGGGAACCGCAGTTGGCTACGTGGGAGTCCAGTGACATAGCCATTACGCTAACTGCTGGCCCCTGATCTTAAGCCATTTCTAACTGTAGCCAGTAAGTCCCTAATTCTTAGAGAGTTTCTGAAGATAAGGAACTCGTGATATATATCTAATTAGAATATAAATTTTAGGACATTTTAGAGAAATTACAATTCAGTTTTCTCATTGCTTGGGACTGTCATAATAATAAACTCCTACAGAGCTGGGTGTGCATTTGTAGGGTTGTTAGACTTCTACAAAACTGACTGACACAAGGAGGAGAAATAAGGGGGCTGTCCTGAAGGTGGATCTGAATGTGTTTATGTGTATACATACTTAGTAGATGCTGTTTATACATAGGTTATACATAGGTTATATTTATAAATTCACCTACTCACTAAAATGTATTTGTAACCCCAAATCAATACTTGCAATGTCTTTAAAGACATTGATAGACATGAAGGGTGGCAAAAAAAAAAAAAAAAAGAGATACCTAATGGCACACATTTCTAGCTGCAGTTGAACAAGAGATGCTTTGCTTTCTTGTTTCAGAATCATGCTGTGATCAAGGGTCCTTTTTCTAGTTGGTTTAGTTCTATGGGTTTTTGCATTTTTGTGGTTTTTATTTTGTTTTGTTTAGGGGATATTAAATCACCAGGGTGGAGGGGGAGAGAGAAAGTGAGAAACCACTCTCCTCGGGGGGATGGCTAGGCCACAGTCCCTTCTCTATTTTCCTCTCATGATTTTGCACACGCATGCACCTGTGCCCAGTTTGTTTTCAAGTTTCCAGGTCAAGAACTCAAACCGTTGAGTTGGCTATTTGGGATCCACTTTTAACTATCATGCCACCTGCCAGGCCCAGATTACTTCGAAAGGAAATTTTATTTGGGGAGCTGGCAGGTGGCATGGTGGTTTGGGCTCTGGACTGCCACATGGCCAACCGTGGTTCAGGTCCTGGATCTGGTGGCTTGCTTTCTCACTTTCTCTTGCTCTGTTTCTGGCCAAGTTAAAAAACAATAATAACAAAACTAAACAATTCTTTAAAATATATATATATTCGGGATTCAGTTAAATATATTAATGCTATTGTGCTGACGTTTTTTTGTGTTTTATTTTGGAGAAAAATAGAATTTGCTGTTTTAACCTTTTCTGTTGTTTTAAGATTTTTGCCTTAGCCAGAGAGACAGAGAGAGGGAAACTGAGAAATCGCCACTGCCCCCTCCCCACCTCCTACCCTCTTCTCCGGGGAGATGGCCACACTACAGTCCCTTCTCCTGCATTCTCATCCTGAGATTTTGGGTGCCCCCACACACATGCCCGACATGCTTTTCAAACTGCAGGGTTTGGTACTTGAACTGTGGTCAGCTGCATGAGAACCTGGGACCTTAACCACCATGCCACCTGTTGTCCCCTGTTTAGCCATTTTTAAGTGTATGGTTTTAATGATATTAACACATTCACATGGTTGTACAGTTTCTGTGGTTTTTGTTTATTTTTTCTTTTTCAGAGACAGCATCTTTTTTCTTTTTTTTTTTTTTTGAGAGGTTTTTGCTATAGGGCGCGTGTGCTCGCCAGACAGAGAGAGAGACAGAGAGACAGAAAGCGAGAAACCACCCCCCAGGGGGGATGGTCACGCCGCAATCCCTTCTCCGCCATTCTCCTCTTGGGATCTTGGGCACGCACGCACACGCGCCCGGCGTGAGTTTTAAGCCACCAGGTCCAGGACGCGAACCGCGGTCGACTATGTGGGAGTCCAGTGACATAGCCGTTACGCTAACTGCTGGTTCCCCAGAGACAGCATCTTGCCACGTTTGCCAGGCTGGCTTTGAACTTGTGGTCTTTCTTCCTTAGCCTTATGAGTTGCTGGGATTATAAGTGCATGGCACCACTAGTGACTTCTGTGGCTTCTTATAAACAGGTTTGCAAGGGCTAGCAGGTGGCATGGAGGTCTCAACCTGGTCACCTCTGCAGTTTGAGTCCTGGGCCTAGTGGCTTGAGAACCATACTGGGTGTGTGTGCCCAAAATCCCAAGAGGAGAGTGGAGGAGAGTGGACAATAAGGGACTGTGGCATGGCCATCCCTCCTGGGGTGATTTCTAGCTTTTTCTCTCTCTCTCCTAGTTTCTGACAAGCACATGTACACTAAAAACAAAAAAAAAAAAAAAAAAAAAAAAAAAAAAGAAAGAAAGAAAAGAAAAGGGGGATTGTGGATCTAGGAGCTTGTTACTGAATTTTTAAAAAAATATGTTTGTTTTTTTGTTGTGATCTTCAAGCCACTGGGTCCAGGACTCAATTGCATTCAGCCATATGGGAATCCAGTGTTTTTACCGCCACATCCCACCTGATGACATACTTACTGATTTTTCTTTTTTGAGAGAGACAGGGAGACAGAAAGTGAGAAATCACCTCCCAGGGAGATGGCCACACTGCAATCCCTTCTCCTCATTTTTTTTTTTTTTGTGATTTTGGGCATATATGCATACACATCTGGTGCAAACGCAAACCTCCAAATCCATAACTCGAACCACTGTCAGCCTTGTGGGAGCCCAGCAACGTGACTTACACCATCTGCTGGTCCTGTTACTGAATTTTTAATAAAAGTATTTTGTATTAAATATGTTTATTTGTATCTAATCTTTATATATACTTTATAATATAGGTGAGATTAAGAATTTTCGATAATTTCATCATAGGATAGAGTATTGTTTAATAACATATATTTGAGACTGTTTTGTGTTCACATATTCCCTTTTCTATTTTAGTGCTTTTTTAGGACCAAAGGATATATTTCCTTACTCAGAAAATAAGGAAAAATATGGCAAACCAAATAAACGAAAAGGTTTTAATGAAGGTTTATGGGAGATAGATAACAATCCAAAAGTGAAATTTTCAAGTCAACAGGTGAGTCATATTACATAAAATTCAGTTTAATGTTACTTGCTTTGAGGAATTACACCATCCTGAATGCAGGAAAATAAATATTTAAGAGCCTTGTGGATTTTAGATTAAAATGTGTTCGTATTTGTGAGGCTTGAACATTGACCTTTACATCTACATGAATTGAAAATTATCACTTGCATGGTTAAATAGATCTCAGAAAACTGGGAAATACTCTGGTATTTAACTTTTTCTGATTGAGAATTCAATTCATCATTGAATTTAAAGGTATATGTACTGTTCTCAAATTAAGATTTTGTAATTTACCAGGTATATGTTTTAATTTTCTTATGCTCCTTAATTTCTAAATCTGAGAATTCAATTCATTGAATTTAAAGCTATATGTACTGTTTCCAAATTTAGATTTTGTAACTTACCAGGCATATGTTTTAATTTTCTTATGATCCTCAATATCTAAATCTGTAGAATTGTATTGGAATAGGAAACACACATAGATTACTTATGAAATAAAAGTACTTATTGCACCATACAAACTACACTTTTTGATGTCTTACTACTACCTCCTTTTCTTTTTTTTTTTTTTGGTCTGTGTCCAGAGATTTTATTAATACGTATGTGATACTGAGTTTTCACGTGGTGGTTTGTCTTTAACCAGTTTGTATCATTTTTGTCATGTAACAGAAGTTACTGTTTATCTTAAATTTCTTCTGTCTTGGTACTGATAGAATTTATTTATTTACTTATTTATTTATATTGTCAGCTGCACTCTTGAACTATATTCTCATATGGATATATATTCTCATATGGATGTTCCAGAACTCTTATAAATTAATAAACCAGGTTTTATAATAGGTCCAGAGAGCTATAAGAGGAGGTCTTCATAAAAATACTGGGACAGTTTTTCATTCATCAATAGAAGTCCTTCTGTTAGAACTTGAGGGAGGGTTGACCTCAAATATTCTAGTAGCTAGAGTCCGCATAACTGACTGTGTTCAAATCCTGGCTCCAGGATCTTTATTTATTTATTTTTTTTTGAAGAGCTTTTTGCTATAGGGTGCGTGCGCTCACCAGACAGAGACAGACAGAAGGCGACAAATCACTCCCCCGGGGGGATGGCCACGTCGCAGTCCCTTCTCCATTCTCCTCTCAGGATTTTGGGCATGCGCACACACGCGCCTGCGTGGAGTTTAGCCGCTGGGTCAGGGACGCGAGCTGCAGTCGACTACATGGGAGTCCAGTGACATAGCCATTATGCTAACTGCTGATTCCGTGGCTCCAGGATCTTGAAAAACAACATACCCAGCACTGTTTTTTGTAGGGAAGAGTAGATATTTGCTGTACGTTTGTTGAATGGGTTCACGATTTCCCATCATTATTACCTTGACTAATGGGAGGACACCTGTCTAAAGAGACCAAATTGTTTACCAAAACATTTCATTATTCATTTTGGACCAGCCATCCTGTGTTTTTTCATGGTCTTTTTTTCAACCTCCAGACTGCCTAGCACAGTTACCCAATATTTTGTCCTATCCACCAAATTTCCAGGTAGTTTTTTTTTGTTTTGTTTTTTGGGGTTTTTTTTTGAGAGGTTTTTTCTATAGGGCGCGTACGCGCGCCAGACAGAGAGAGACAGAGAGACAGAAAGGGAAAAATCCCCCCCCAGGGGGGATGGCCACACTGTAATCCCTTCTCCTCCCTTCTCCTCTTGGGATCTTGGGCACGCACGCACACGCGCCCGGCGTGAGTTTTAAGCCACTGGGTCCGGGACGTGAACCACAGTTGACTACGTGGGAGTCCAGCAACATAACCATTATGCTAACTGCTGGTCCCTCCAGGTAGTTTTTACGTTTAGACTTAGAATTTTGTTTTTCAAATGAAATTGTTGGTAGGTTGTGTAGATAAACCAAACAACTTCCTGTTCTCATCAGACTTATGATTGTGCTAATTAGTTGTAAATCTTGGGATCAAATACATCCCCAGTGGCACATTTCTAAGATTTGGGGAAAACAGTGATGTTTTATGTATTTGTTTTATATAAAACAAAAAATAGACCATCATGATTTTTAAAAAATTTCCAGGGCATTTTTATGTTTTTTTATTAACACTTTTAATAATTTTTGGATTATTAGCATTTTTAAAAACTTGTATTTGTTTATTTATGTTAATTCAACGGGGGGGAGGGGAATGAGAAAGCAAACTGCAAGGTCCAGGACTTGAACACGATCAGCCATGTATGGGAGTCCAGCACCCTTAACCACCATACCACCTGCTGGCTCAGCATTGTTTTATTTTGTTTTGTTTTGAAACAAAAGATGAAATGGGTTTACAGTTTATAAGATGTGTCAGAAGAGGGGCTGGCAGGTGGCTTGGTGGTTAAAGGTATTGGACTCTCACATGGTGATCATAATTCAAGTCCTGGACCTGGCGGCTTTTTCTCTCTCTCGTCAAATTAAAAGAAAAATAAAAATATATATATGTATGTGTGTATATATATTTGTGTCTGTGTTTATTTATATATATATAAAATACATAAAAATAATTTAAGAAAAAGAAAAGGATGTGCCAAAGGAAACCACTAAGAAGAGGCATAAGTTAAATTACAGTGCAGTTACCTAGATCTGTGTTTATTCTAACTCCCAAATGTGTATTCTCTTGTCTCTGTCTCTCATCTTTTTGGATGGTATTATGTTAAGAGCCAATAAGTCATCTACTTAAGTATCTATCAACTGGGAGTCCTTTTTAAAATTAATGATGATTACTGGACTTAGTAGTTGTTAAATCAGAATTGCTTAAGTTATGTCTCAGGACTGCATTTCAAATAAACTGAGTCTGAGATTTATCAAAGCTTTTAAGTAAAGCTGTGATCTGTATACGTATGTGTATACACACACTTTGCTAAGGCTGTTTATCTTAGATAAGTGACTCTGGTCAGTATTTTAAAATAGCAGATAGCCTATGATGGTGCTATTCTTGATTAACTTGCAGTTAGTATTTGTTGGTTAGAGCATGGTATTCTTCGTACATGTACTTTCATTCTACCTTACTGTTTCATTCACTGAAACATGGGAAGTAGAGAAATAAGGTCCATTATAAGACTTTAAAAGAAATAATAGTATTTAAAACTATTTGAAAGTTGTTTTAAATATTAAAATTTTCTTGGAACAGAAATTAGGATATTTTGGGACCAGCAGTTAGCGTAATGACTATGTCGCTGGACTCCCATGTAGTCGACCACGGTTTGAGTCCCGGATCCAGTGGCTTAAACTCACGCCAGGCACGTGTGTGTGAGTGCCCAAGATCCCAAGAGGAGAATGGAGGAGAAGGGGTTGCGGTGTGGCCATCCTCCCGGGGGTGATTTCTCACTTTCTCTCTGTCTCTCATTCTGGTGAGCGCATGCACCCTATAGCAAAAACCTCCCCCCTGCACCCCAAAAAAGAAAAAAATTAGGATATATATATATTTTAAAGTTATTGAACTTTATTTATTATTATTATTTTAATTTGACTAGAGAGAGGCAGAGAAAGAAAGGGAAAGCGAGGAAGCGAGTCGCCAGGTCTGGAACAGAAACTGCAGTTGACTATGTAATTTTTTTTTTTTTT